CAGGAACGGACACCCAGGGCGGCCGGCTGCGCGATTGAGGACGGACCCCTCAATCATGCCACAATCTCATCTCATGGAGTTTAATACCGCATTTCGCTGCTTCAGGGTCAGCGGGGGGGGCAGGGGGGGGTCGCAGCAGACTGAGATAAAAATGTGGGAAGGGGAGATTAGAAAAGACCCGGGTCGCAGGAAAGGTACCGGTCGAGAAGCCGACGGACCTTGGCAACGGTGGGAGGGGAACCGGGGCAGGGGGGGGGGGGGCATTTACGCCACAACGCGAAACTGCCACCCAGCACAGAGGTGTTACATCACTGCCAGCAAGATTCAAATCTTCACAAATACATCTCATCATGGAAGCTCAATCTTTCCATGTCGGCAATCCTTTTATATTGCAAAGAATTCAGTGCGTGGCACTCTGGATGTTACACAGAGCTCACAGAAAGTCTTGGAACACTGGCTTAATTCAGTGAAAATATTACAAAAAAATTATTACAGATATCATCACTTTATAAATTTGATGAAAAAAAAGAAAAGAAATTTAATTAGTAACATTTTGAAATAACATTAAACACCAAACATGTGTGTTCAGTAACTCTTTGGGAGCCAATGACAACCACTGCAATTAATAACAAAATGGCAAGAACAGAACTGAATGAGTCAGTCAAAAAAATATGACACTTAAAACGAAAATGTGTAGATGATGTGCGCAGATACGTTAAACGCTGCTTGTCATCGGACCAATAAATTTGCAACATTTTTACAGAATTATGCAAGAGTCCCAGACTTTCTGTGAGCGCTATATATCAAACTGAACATTTTAACCCCGAATGTCACATTTCGAAAGCCTTGTTTTGCTTTACGCAACATAGTGGCTTGAGAACATCGGCCAAGCTCTACGTAGTAGCACCAAAGGACCTCGTTAAGGCGGAAATTCCTGCCAGTTCCGCGGGCCATTACGGCCGTGACATTGTCAGAGAATTGTGGCCAGCGGGTTTACGGCGGGGTCCCCGAGTCACGACTCTCGCTGAAGCGCCGCGCTAATCTCCAAGCCACCGCAGCGTCACGCAAAAAGTCACACCAACTGGAAGACCTTGAGAGATGGCGGCCGGAGCTGTAAGAGGCGTTCCCCCGGGGGGTCTGGACCATGTCAGGAGACAGCATTTCCATAAAGCATCATCATGCATCATGGCGAGGCTCCTCGCGCCAATCGGACAAACCATCTGGCCGTCTGCGACTGCCTCCTCGTGAGGAGGGGGAGGGGGATGCTATCCGTCTCGTGGGGGGGGCGGGGGGGGCGAGTCAGGTGACCGTCATTTTTCACGCAGATTCGTTTCACCTGTTCTTCACTGCCGATGTCCTCATACATTAGTGTGTCCCGCTTTCGCCTGACAGTGACCGGGGGCAGACCCTCCCTTTACGCCGCCCCCGGCCGCCCCCGCTTCAAGGCGCTCGCCCTCCTCTTGCCCCTCGAAACTTTGTTTGTTTATTCAGATGTGCCTGTCACCTGGTTTCCCCCTTGCTCTCGTCTGCCCTTGAAAGGGATTCTCCTGTCCCCACCCCCCCGCCCCCCGCTCCTGTTCACTGATCCGTCCAGGCTTTCACACAATCGTAAACCTTAAATGTGTTACATTGGTGCCATCTAAACTCTGCTCCTTTATTTCCAAAGGTATAACCTTGAAGTTTTATTCAGGTGCCCTGTTTCAAATCGTGACCGGCTGTGTGTGTGCGTGTGCGTATACATATTACATTGTGGGGACCAAATGATAAAAACCTGTTATTTTGTCCTTGTGGGGACATGATTTCTATCCCAACAAGGGGAAACTCAATTGTATAAAAATCTGTGACTGCAATCAAAAAACTAAAAATGCCAAAAGTCTTGAATTTTGTTTGCTTACTTATGGTTAAGGTTAGGGCTGGGCAGTGGTTAAGGTTGTTGTATTTAGGATTAGGGTTATGTCCACAGAATGAATGCATGGTCCCCACAAAGATACAAATGCGTGTGTGTGTGTGTGTAAATCCATGTACTACCAGGTTGTCTTCAGACATGCATGGACGTCAACATTAATCTTTAATCATTAATGACACTATGAACACATTTAACTATGTTTTTGTTTTATTTAAATATCTGCATGGAGATGACGCAGTGGTATCTATGCTCAGAGTCATGTTCTGTGCAGTGATTTGCATTGTTCTGATCGTCAGATTTGCAGTTCGCTCCGAGACACCTGCTCATTATTAAAGTGCGCGGCTTTGAGAAACAGATCCAGCTCAGCCCTTCGCATTTCTTTTAATTTGTTTAATTATTAGTCGCAGGATTTCAAAAGACTTTTACTCCCCCCCCCCCCAGGTATCATAAACATATTTGGGAACCTTGGAAACGGCATCGTTAAATACTTCAACAAAGTAAAGATCTTAAATAATTCACTGCTAAGACGGAGAGATGTGCTGATTAAAAAAAAAAATCAAATGCCTACAAAATACAAATGGATAAAAAACAGGGGTTTCTCATTAGCCCAGGGCCTTGAAGATCCGCGGAGACCACACGCTATCTTCAGGATTAATAGCACAGCGGACTCAGTAATACGAGGTAATCAGCGGAGCGTATCTGTTGTCCAGGGCCGAACCTTCTCCTGCACGACCAGTCCAGTGAAAAGACAGTCTGTCAGTGCATGCAGCAAACCAGACCTGGACGTGGTGCCAAGTGAACTCAGCTGGTTCCGAGCCAACATCAGCAGATGTGCTGGGGTCTAACTAGAGTTTCTCTGTTTTTTTTTTTTTTTCCCTGCCGCGCTCTTTCAGACTATGATATTCTGTCAAACTACACCGGGCGAAAAGTGAGACACAGCAAATATGACGGAACGTGTTTGATGAAAACGACGAATGTCACGGACCGGAACGCGACTGAGGCGCAAACGCTTGCGCTGCAGATACGGTGCGAAGGAACCACAGGGACGGACGGGCTTCTCGGCGCCGCCCTTCTGGTGATATCCTGTCACTGCTAGGTTTCTCTGCATTTAACCAATGGAGACGTATCTCCAGCAAAACATCATGGGAGTCACTGAAGCCTGCAGGTAGGTGCTGAAGGGCCGTGAATGTTCCTTGTACAGGGTGGTTTGGGAAAACTCTTTTATATTCATGAGAGAAGCTACCTGATTGGCTGGTAAACTCAGTCTAAGGCATTCACTGGCCAATCAGGTAGCGCTTCTCTCACGGATATTAATGAGTTTCCCCGAATCACCCTGTAAAACGAGAATTCACCACTGGGCCCCAGTTAAACTTAGGGCGGGCCTTTCCCTGACTGCATTTCAGCCTCATCACCTTGCAGGTCTGTTATCCTCAGCAGGTACCCAACCAAATTCCCCCAATCGCTACAAATGTAATAAGGGGTACAAAAAAGCAGCATCTAAAATTCTGCTTCACACATTACACTGCAAGCTTTGCTGGAGAATATCGACAACGCTCCACTTCCCCGCTATTGTGTCACAAGCGAATGTGCTACAGTAAATGTCAGAGCCATTTCCCGATGTCCATAAAGTGGGACGGGTGGATTTCCTGACGTAAAACTGCGACGGCATCGCATGCAGACATCGAGGATTATTATACATGCAAGGTCAAAGGTCAGGGTAAATGACTGCCATACGCTCCGTTTGACGGTATTACTAAGGTGCCAAATTATTAAGGTGATGCAACGCAGGTTTTGATAGATCCAGCTTTTACTGTGCTGCATATGAAATAAAGGCATCATACTGAGCTGGTAGTGGATGCTGTGGCTGAATCACAGAGTTAAAGACACATTTAAAGTCATGCAGAGCTGAGGCAGTGTACTGCTGGACTGCTGTAAATTGTACAGCTGCGTTAAAAATAAATAAATAAAACTGTTAGCATCTAATTAGTAGGCAGTCATTGTATCCCTTATTCTGCCCTTGCTGAGCATCCATTATTCACCCCCCCACCGCCCGCACACCCCCAGCCGAAATGTCACGAAAGCACAGTGCTCACCGGAAGCCTGATGAAACTCACCCGACACCGGGGTCATGGGGGTGGGCGGGAGGCCGTTGATGTTGAGCGCCCCCATCTGGTGGATCTGTGCGGTGGGGAAGGCCACGCTGGGTGTCAGGTAGCCGCCATGCGTGGCAGCCATGATCGCGGCCTGCTGCTGCATCAGCTGCGACGGGAAGGGGGGGCGGGGGGTATATGGGGGTGGGGCGGAGAGTCAGACGAGAGGAGGCGGTCAGCCGGCCAATCACAGAGGTCGGGGTGGGGGGTGCCCCACAGTTAATTGGCAGACAGAAGGTGACAAGGTGTTCGGGAGAAACCGTGACCTAGTGACTTTTTACAACACGACTCCTCATATGGGGGCCGCCTGCTGGACTCATGCCCACATGTCCCAGGGCCGCCATTAAAGGTGCAATTTACCCGGTGACCACGGACCGGTCCGTCTCCATCTCGCCTCATGAGTCTGATCCAGACATCGATGTGCTTTTTTAAAATGCCGATCAAAACCGATGATCAAACATCAAGCTATGTGTGTGTGTGGGGCGGGGGGGGGGGGGGGGGGGGAGCTGGACGTGAGGGGGCTACCTGCGGGCAACTGTTGGCTGCTGGGAACGGGGGATCACCTCAAAGTCGATGCAATTGTATCAGATTTAATGCCCATAAGGATGGAGCGGGATAGCAGCGCACCCCCGATGGCCCTGAGTGTCACTCACCGCGTGGGCGTAGCTGCTGTAAGTGCTGAACGGTAGCGCTATGGCCGGGTTGAAGATGCCGAACTGGCCCACCATCTGCTGCATGCGGCGGATGGTGCGCTCCTTGTCCGTGTCGGCGAATTTCACCACCAGGCTGGAAGACGCACCCTGGGAAGGAGGACAGGATGTGAGCCGGGCTGGTGAGGGGGAGCACGGAGCTCTTAGTATGTCCATAGCATGCTGCCGGTCAAAATAAGACCATTTGAGCTGAAGGGTTTCAGTCTGAATACATCTGTACACACCTGGAAAAGTGTTCACGTACTGGGCCGTGCCCAGACTGTCAGAATTCCATAATTGCAGAAGAAACATTAGCAATCAGCAGTCAGCAACCCCCCCACCATGTCAACGCAAATTAAACCAAACAGCTTTAGACCTTCTCCTAGACTTTGGGTAGCAAACAGTGTGTTACCATTTTAGGTAAACAGGCCTTTCATTTAGCAGATGCTCGTTTTTCATTTACTGCTGCTGAAATGGTTAGTGTGAAAATCTTTTAAGTGCTTGCAGGTTTTATCGGACGGAGGAGGTCCTGTCCGTGAAAACGAGACCCCCGTAGCAGTCTCTATCGCATAAACCTCCCTGAAGGAGATTTCCATCCATGTCAGCAGGAATCTTTAAGCCCCGCCCTCATGCAGCCACATCCCACAGCAGTGTCTTCAGTCATTTAGAAAAAACATTCCTTGGGGTGTCTGTGTCATGTCTGCTGCAAATAAGTAACAAAAAACATAATTATGGGCAACATATATTGCAGTTACCCCCATGTGTTGACTGAAGTCATCTTGAATGACTTTCTACGTTTTAATTTCAGACAGTTGTTATGGCCATCAGTAGCCACATGAATTTAATGTTCAGTTGTTGTATGGCTTTGGTCAACCAGTTGGGGGGTCGTTCTTCCATATGAACCAGCTGAAGATCAGCTTCCAGTGTAATGGTGATGGAACCACCACTTGACCAGATGTTCACACCGAGATCTTTATGCATTGCTAAGAGTCCAGTGGCGCAATGGTTTGGTCAGAAACTGTAATATAACCGTTCCACAAGACAGACGTTTTTCCATCACTAATAGATGAGCAGCAAGATCGATGCCGACTTTCCATCCAAAGCTTGACTCTGCCAGTTCCTTTTAAGTAGGAGATTATAAAAATAAATAATATGCGTCAAAATTTCATTATTTTTTGGAATTGGAAAATTTGGCTGTTTTTGTCATCAAGCATTATAATTGTATACGAATTCAGCGGTCACAGGGTATTGCTCCTAATTTCTATTGATGGTTGTGCATTCTGCACTTGGGTACGAGTCGGGTTCCCAACTTGCATGAGCCTGTCACAAAGAGAGGACGAGAGAGTCAAAGCACTTACAGCACAGGGCGCTTTTCAGCTTTCGGCAGCTAGGATTTAGACATCCGCTACCAGTGAGCATGTCACGCCCTTGATCAAGGTGCTTGTCAGTGAGGAGAGGAATCCTCTCCAAATCCGTACAGGCCTCTGTAACTGTTCCCATCTCACCCTCTCATCTCTTCTTCCATGGTGCGGTAATAAGAGCAATAGGTGTGTCTGCCATTCATTAAGAATCTTTAAATGATTTAGCGCAACGGCTTGACCTTTCCGATGGTCCTCGGCACTTTCCCTGCCCCCCCCCCCCCCCACAAAACCACCCAATCGATCCGGATGAAAGGCCGAAATATTACTCTGATCTGACAGTGGGGAAAGGTTGTGCGTCAGGCGAGATAAGAGCCTCCCTGAAATTGATGTGAAATTGTCAATAACAGCAGCAAGTGGCATGGGAAGAGCCCAGACAGTGTGCGGCGTTGGCACTGAACCGGCTGGGGATTGTGGGTAGTCACAGCGGGTGTGGACTCAGCATCTGGCTGAGGTGAGGATTCTCCCTGGTTTCTCTGGCTTTGTCTCTGTTTTTATTTATTTATTTCTTCATTTAAAATGCGTCCCGGCGGGAGCCGTGAGCACGTCAATCACAGTCTGCTTCCCGGGGCACCGCGGTCTGGCTTGGGGCGTTGGCACAGCATTGGTGGGCAGCATTTGCGGGTTTCTGAAGAGGCACTGGAGTGGAAGAATAATGCAGACCCCCCTCCCTTCTCTGCTCTTTTAACAACCCCCCCCCCCCCCCCCCCCACACACACACACAC